GTTTAGATATGTCGTACTATAAAGAGGAATGCAAATTTAGGTGGTCTGACGAAGATAGAGTGCTTAAACATAAAAGTAAAATCAAAAGATACACAAAATCACCTCTCGAACACTTGGACATAGTTTATGGACTTTTGGTAGTTAGAAGTTCTAGCGTGAGCCAAGAGTTTCGGCTGTTGGAAGTCCCGATGTTTGGTGCCGGAAGTCCCGGTGCTTGTTGACTTAGCCGCAGCCGTCTACGCATCTTCGCCCGTCGGAAGTCCTGATGGGAGTCGGGAGTTCGGGTGCTGGAAGTTCGGCTCCCTCCGGAAGTCCCGACACTTCACGACTTAGCCACTGCGCATCTTCGCCTGTCGAAAGTCCCGACAGGAGTCGAGAGTTTTGGGTGCCGGAAGTCCTAGCTCCCGTCGGAAGTCCCGACGCCTTAGGACTTAGTCGCTTGGCTCGTCATGTCTGTCGGGAGTCCCGACGGCTACCGAAAATCCCGGTGACCGTCAGGAGTTCCAATGATATGTGAGCAAGCCTAGTGGACTGTCTGTGTGAACATTGTTTTTGCGTTGAGCCAGAAGTTCCGGAGATCTGTGTCAAAACTTTTGACTCAGATCTGAACGGTTGGATTTGCCTTTTAGTATAAATAGGTCTCTCATCTCTTCTAACTGACATAACTCATTCATTACTCACCAACCTTTGTCTAAAATAGCTTCCAAGCATTCAAAGCACCCCTCTCCTCTCCTCTCCTCTCCTCTCCTCTCCTCTTTGCTTCAATCTTTGATTCCCTTAGGGTTTTGAGTAAAAGGAGAGTGGATTGAGTGAGAGAATCACTTTAGCTAGCTTGAGCACTTGATTTCTTTGTCAAGCCGGTTGGATTTGAGTCTATTACTCTTGGGTTCTTGGAACCCTAGGCAGCTAGGCATCGTCCAAGAGCTTCCATCTTGTGGAAGAGCCTTGGGAAGTTTGTATTATCCTTGATTTCTTAGTGGAAAGCTCAAGTAACCTTTGTGGTTGCTTTGAGAGACGCAAGGAGGTGGAAGAGACTCCGACCTTTGTGGTCACCTCAACAATGAGGATGTAAGAGCTCCTATGTGGGGTTGCCGAACCTCGAAATAAATTCTTATGTCCCGCGTGCTTGTTGTTGTGATTTGTGCTATTATATTTGTTCTTGTTGGTTTGTCTTCCTCCCTAACTCTCCTCTTAGGGTTTGGACTTGATCTACGAAGTGGTGACCTTCCGGCGTCAAAGGAGCAACCCCAACACTTCATCTTACCACTAGGGAGTGGGATTGTAAGATATCTTTCACTCAAAGTTTGTTTTAGCACTTGTAGTGCTATTCTCGTAGGTGTCGGAACTCTCGGCTGTTTGCGTCAGAACTTCTAGCTCCCGGAAGTTCTGGTCCAAACTATCGGGACTTCCGACTGTCACTAACATTTGACTTTGAGATTATGCAGAAATTTTTAGATACGCCTATTTATCCCCCCTCTAGGCATTGTTTGGATCCTTTCAGTATCACTTGGACCTCCATCAGCTACTGCCCTGTGCCCATGGCTAAGGTCCTCGAAATCAGGAACTAGTGGATCCCTCCCAGGCAACACCCTCCTCAATATCTGTATTTCCCTATCATTGAGATGACGAACATGACGATCGTCGTCAGAGTCTTCAGCTAATTCCTCTACAAAGGTTTCATCATCTCCAACTACCTCCATATCAAACCGGTTCCTAGCCCTAGCATCGCCAAACTCATCTTCACCACTAAGATCAGCTTCATCACTAAGATCATCAAAAATTAAGTCATCTCCGCTAGCGTCGTCCAAACCTTCATCGCCCTCACCAACTCCATAAGACTCATCATCATCATCACTATCATGATTCTCATCACCATCGGCTACCGTGTTCTCATGATCATCTCTGACGTCGTCACAACAACCTTCATCTCCCTCGATCAATCCTAACCCGTCAACACCACCATACGTTGGTTGTGTGAGAACTATTTCTTTTTCTACTAATGGACCATTCTCTATGCGAGCGTTGAGTGATGGACATGCTTCAATGTTCTCAATTCCTATGCCATACTCCTTAATTATCACCAAATCCAATGATTGTACTTCGGAGGCCAACACAACTACCTTGTAATCATTCCATTTGGACTTGCTTGTAATTTTGAGCAACCTCTTGATGCGTGGACCCTGAGACGACCCAATATCTATGACCCCTTCAAACTGAACATGCATGTCTCCTTCGGACCAACCTAGCCTTACTTTCACTCGGTCCACTAACTGGGTCAAAGAGGGTGACTCAGAAAAAATCAACACATCCTCAAACATGTCCTCAAATTTGACACTATCATCTCTTGTCCTAACAATATGTCATCCGTGATGCAACCTCACTAATTTATCCATCTACAACCATCACACAACAAATAAATTATCAACTAATGATATGGACCTAGTAAATCAATAACATTTCTAACTAGAGTTGCCGATGCATTATTATCAACACACTGCTAAAACAATTTGATAGGTATAGCATTGTGTTACCAAGATTGTAGGTTGTGCTCTAAGATTCATTGGTGTCATTTGAGACAATTAGTTCAGCATAAGGTTGTAACGTCCAAACATATAGTGATGTTACATAATTTGCAGGGATCATCCTATATGCTAGGCTTCAATATTTTCTACACATAACCCAAACTTCTACCTGTCATGGTCACATATTTTAAAACAAGACCAGATCTACTTTTTTCTTATAACCTCCTAACCCACTGCTATCAAGGAAACCCTAGTGCCAAATGACGAACTAGCACTAAAACTAAATCAATCAAAAATATCATACCACAACTCAAACTAAACCATAAATTTCACATATACTTGAGCAACCATACAATACCCAACATTCTACATGTATACAACCAATGCAAGTAATTCTAACCGGACAAATTAGGGGAGGGCAAGGGGCATTACCTCGGGGATTCGTCCTCATGCCAGATCCGGCCACCCTAGTGTGCCACTATAGAGTTAGGGTTCGTGGGGGATGGAGAGGAGAGAGAGCGAACAGGCGGCGAGCGGAAAGAATGGAGAAGGGAGAGGAGGAAGAAGGGGGCCGCATGACTTAAGTGCCCAAGCCTCGGCGCTCAGTCGGGCCTCGCCGAGGTCTAGGCGTTGGCGTTAACTAAGCCCACGCCTAGGGTTCTGTGGGGGAGAGAGGGAGAGAGAGGAGCAGTGGCGGGGAAAAAGAATAGAGAAGGGAGAGGAGGAAGAAGTGGGTCTCGTGGCTTAACTGCCCAAGACTCGGTGCTGAGTCGTGCCATGCCAAGGTCTGGGCCTCGGCGTTAACTAAGCCCACGCCGAGCTCTGTGGGCCCAACTGATGTGGACACGCCTACGATGTCCGAAATAATGCCCAATCTTTCACGGTGCAGAAATCACAAAGATATCTATGGCCGAGACTTAATATAGCAACAGACCAAAAACTACTGCTCACACAAGAAGCGCAAACAATATAATATTATGTCCGGCGATGATTTAATCTCCTCGGCCAAGTCGAGAGTTTGGATCTGAAGAAGTTTGAGAGACAAACTATACTTTTTGTGTATATGATGTATATATACTTGCACGGGAAGACAAAATAAATATATAATTTAATAATTGGCCAAAAGAACGCAGCTCTATTCCTTTTGTTGATAGGAAACCGGCGACAAATATTTCAACATAGATCAATCTCACATAATTGTATTGACCAAGCAAGACGCTAATCCAGATAGGTAAAATAATTCGATTGTTCAACCAAAGACAAGCGGTAGCAATAATTAAAAATATTGGCCACAAACTTGACAGATGCAACGAGTAGTAGGCGATCTCCAACCCCTGCCTAGGGCACGATCCGTAGAGGGATTCCCGCCGAACCAATGCGAGCGAGAAGATGAATTTCGATCACACACCAACACAAATTCTCGCAGGATCGAGTAACGTAAATCACCGCCGGCGGCTCAACGGGAATAACTCAACGAATAAAATCAATCTAAACTTTACAAGAGCCATGGCCACAGGATATATGGCTCATGAGCCCCACCAACCGCGGCCGCGAGACCCAACCCAGCTCGTCTAGACACACTAGGAGACCTGACCGCGGACTATGCGCGCGGACTAAGTACTTAAATGAAATAATAAATAATCCCGACTTGTAGTCACTTTACTTAATCTAGCCATAATCTAAAAGTGCCTCAACATGCTTACCCATCAAAGTAGCGAAGATACTTCTTGACTTCCTCCCGACGTTAGCATCAATAAACACGCATTATGACGGCATATTTTTCTTCATATATCTTCCCTTCACATCAAAGGATAATGCACCAAATTTCATGGTTAAATAATATGGATCATCTGCACTAATAAATTGAGGAGCCATGGGCTCATCCTGTTCCACCTTGAAACAAAGCCATCCTCGGCTTTGGATTATTCTAAGTGTCTTGCATTGCTGATTATATCTTCATCATTCTTCCACCTTCAAGCTTCTCAAAAGTGGATAGAAAGTTTAGCAAAGATGATTTATTAGCAACGGTCTTTGCTATTTGGACCCATTGCAATAACTTTGGAAGCATTATCTAGAGAATTAATCATCACAATATCTTCTTCTCCCTTACTAGGGATTTTAGGATTACCCGCCACAATTTTAGGATCCTTGCATAAATTCAGTGCATTAACCTTTTACAAACATCAGCGCTATGAAGAAATTCTAGTGTAGTCAATGGTGACGTAAAATTTGACAGCGGACACGCTTTCAAGTATTCAGGAGTGGTGTTCAACTTCGAGAGTTTGGTCATTTCTAAAAAATATTGTTCTCGAGGTTACTTTAAAAAATATTTAGAAAAAAGGATCAAAATGTAAAAATTTCACGCATAAAGCAGCGGCCCGCCCTACCACGCCAGCGACAAAAGCAGCGGAGGAGCCAGACCACGCCAGCCAGCCAGCGCGCCCGACTCGCCGTCGCAGCTGCCACGTCTCCCCTCCCATGGCCACCAGCTCCACAGCCACCGCCTCGCTGCACCTCCTCCTCCCGGCCTCCCGCCGCCGCCGCCACTTCGTGCCTCGGGCCGCCCACTCCGAGTCCACCCCGCCCCCTGCCGCCTCCGTCGACCGCCGCCGCTTCATTGCCCACACTGCCGCCGCGGCCGCCGTCTCGCCTCTCGTCTTGCCCCGCTGGACCCCCGCGGCGCGCGCGGACGACGCGCCGGCGCTCTCCGAGTGGGAGCGCGTCTTCCTGCCCATCGACCCCGGCGTCGTCCTCCTCGACATCGCCTTCGTCCCCGACGACCCATCCCATGGTATGACGGCACTCTTCATTCTCTCTTCAACGGCTAGCGCACGCACATCAAATCACAATGCACATACACAGCCGCTTCCTGTTACTAAGTCACTTACGCACCCAATCGAATCTGTGTCATGCATTGCTGCTTCTGCCACGTCTTCAACCTCTGCACACCAAACACCAAGGCCGCCTCGTGTTGGTGCTAATTTGGAGCCTGAGAAAAAATCAATCTTTTTTTTTTCTTCATCACCCACTTATGAACTCCTTCAGGCGTTCACCTTTTCAACGACAGCGCTAGCCGCTAGTGTAGTGTCTGCAAGTAAACGTTGACAGGGCACGCTTTCAAGTTTCAGGAGATGTCTTCTTCTAACTTGGCATCCTAGTGTTGTTCTCTATTTAATCTCTAGTAAAGGTTGAAGCAAGGCAAGCCATACACATTCTGTACACATGTATGAATTATGAAATGTAAGGCTGGCTGACTGACACGGAGGTCATTCAGGTTTTCTCCTTGGGACAACACCTGGTTCCCTCGCTCCATCCCTTCCGCAGAAGACGAAGATTTCAACTACAGGTTCAACTCAGTAAGCTTCAAGGGCAAAGAGGGATGGATTATCGGCAAGCCTGCAATTCTGCTGCACACTTCTGATGCTGGCGAGAGCTGGGAAAGAATACCCTTGAGTGCCCAACTTCCTGGGAACATGGTATTTTCATTTTTGGCTACCACATATCCCTCCCTTTGTTTGCATTTGAACTGGTGACATAAATGAGGTCATCCTTAATCGCTAATTCTTGTGAGACGATGGCAGGTTTACATAAAAGCTACCGGGGAGCAGAGAGCGCAGAAATGGTTACCGATGAGGGCGCAATCTATGTTACTTCTAACCGTGGCTACAACTGGAAGGCTTTCTAGCCCCCTGGCGATCCCCGGGCACGTGGAGCAAAGCCTCTCTCTTAAAATTTTATGATATTTTCAGGACTAAGGTTGAAGAAGATAAAAACCCGATTCTTTTGTTCAGCTCCTCCTAAATTTTTTTCTGGCTTCGTCCCTGGCTGTATCCATCCGAGGGAACTTCTATTTGACTTGGGAGCCTGGGCAGGTCTGGTAGAACTACCTGATATATATTACTTTGTTCTGTCTCCTGGAGTTTACAGGTACACATCTTGGTATATCTATGTGCAGCCATTTTGGCAACCCCACAACAGGGCGGTGGCACGGAGGATTTAGAACATGGGGTGGAGAGCAGACGGTGGACTTTGGCTGCTGGTGCGCGGTGGTGGGCTCTTCCTCAGCAAAGGAACCAGGGTAAGACTTGGAGACTTGGACAAGCAGGAGTTGGCACCTTTTTTTTTATCTTATCATCGCTTTTGTTGCAAAATGAGGAAGCAAAGCTCCCTTTAACTTTCGTCATGTGTTGCCTTGGCTAGAATAGAAACAACAGCGAGAACTTACCTGATGTTTTCCTTTATTTGGAGATCGTCCTGCCGATCATGTAACAATAATTGGTTTCTATGTGTAGATAACTGAAGACTTTGAGGAGGCGCAGGTGCAGAGCCGGGGGTTCGGGATCCTTGACGTGGGCTATCGCTCACAGGTAATTCATTACTTGATATAGAGAAGAAAAATGAAATTGCAATGCAGCTCTCAATCTCTTTGCCTGAGCTAGCTTTTTGTTACTAGCAAATAGCTGCAATGCACGATCCATGAGACTGAATGGCTCTCTTCCCAAATTGAATTCCTATGCGCTGCTGCACTGCACTGCACTGCAGGAGGCGGCCTGGGCTGCTGGTGGCAGCGGCGTGTTGCTGAAGACCACAAACGGAGGGAAGAACTGGGTGTGCGACAAGGCTGCCGACAACATCGCCGCCAGCCTGTACTCCGTCAAGTAAGCAACCAAGCACTGTTTGATCAATATATATAGATGATTGTTTGCCAGAAACATTTGTAATTGTGACGCTGGTTGTGATGGCACAGATTCCTTGATGACAGCAAAGGCTTCGTGCTGGGCAACGACGGCGTGTTGCTTCGATATCTTGGCTGAAAGAGTGCTGGAAGATCAGTTTCAATCATCGTATGTAGCTCTTTTGTATTGTATTGTATTGTATTGTATTGTACGTGACGTAACGAAGGTATATTATGGAGATACATACAATTGGTCGATTTATACAGCATATATATGTGTATGTGTACAACGGCATCTGCTGCTGCTGCTACTACTGTAAAAGACTGCTGACTGTGCTTGCATTCTCTCTTCCGCAACGCAAATTGTATCTGTATATGCTACTGTACCTGTTCTAAACAACCCTAAGACCAGGAGCAAGCAGAAATACTGCTCTTAGAAATCTTTACTATTATTATTATTGTTATTTGATCTTGATGCTGCTGCTGTTTTTATTGTTATTTGATCTTAGAAATTATTATTGCTGTTGCTATTATTATTGTTATTTGATCTTGATGCTGCTGCTGTTATTATTGTTGTTACTATTTCAAACAATGTTACACTCACACCCCCAGCCCGACCAGACATGAAAAGATCTATCTATCTGCTCCCTGCGTCCACGAATAACTGTCTTTTTTTTTTCTATACCGTAAGTTTAACTGAATTTATAAAAAATGCGTGCAACATTTATATATTCGAATAAATTTATTATGAAAATAGATTCTGTGATCTCTATCTAATGATATTAATTTTGTATTATAGATATTAATATTATATATATATATAGTTAAAGTTATTTCTTAAAAAGCAAAAACAATAGTTATTTAGCGACGCAGCGAGTCCTACGGATGCTCTTACCAGGAAAAGAAACAGATCTACAAATGCGCCATTTACACGTGGGGCCAAAGCACGTGATGAAACGGCGTCCGCCCACGGATCTACTGTACCTACTCCCCGTACTGTGTCAGTATCTGTGGCGTGCACATGTTCTCGCTCCGTCCGCGGAGGAATGCAGTTCTAATTTTCCGAGGAGTTTTAGTAAGTTTGAATTTTGATTAAAATTATATAAAAAAAATACTAACATCCCTAATGCAAAATTAGTATCATTAGATTAGTTATAGAATATATTTTAATAATAAATTTATTTTAAAATATAAATATTGATATTATTTGCTATAAACTTAGTTAAACTTGAGTTACTCTGACAGGGACGAATACCATAATTACAGATGGAGGAAGTATATATATATATATATATATATATAAATTAATATAATATATACTCCTATACTACAAAATTATAGGAGTATCCTGCTAGTCCGTATGTACTGTACTTGATGAGAAATTGTTTATTTCTAGCTTAGGCCTTGTTTAGATTGTAAGTTTTTTCACTCTCTCTCCATCACATTAAATCTTTGGACATATATATGGAATATTAAATGTAGATAAAAAAATAACTAAGTACACAATTTGATTGTAAATTACGAGACGAATCTTTTGAGCCTAGTTAGACCATGATTAGACAATAATTGTCAAATACAAACGAAAAAATCTACAGGGCCAAATACTAATTCCTAACCCCAATCTAAACAAGGCCTTATTCTCCCAGTGTGGAGTGGAGGAGCATCGTTGCATTCCAGCTGCTGTGGTGCCTTGGCAACAGTAGAATTGCAAGAAAGATTCGTGTGCCTACTGTCAGGCCAGGCAGCCACGTCTTGTCTTTGCTCGGAGCATCCCTTTCCCGGTGGTTTTGGTTGCAGCTCTGCTCAGCCTTCGCTCCGGCTCTACTCGTGCTCGTGCTCGTGCAACCATTTTAGTAAATGCTACATGTACACGCTCTTGGTTCCACGTGTGTTTATAGTCATCAATCATGCAAGCGATCGCATGGCATATAGGCCCTGTTTGTTAGAGCGGTCAAGAAAGAATTTTCTCCACAAACAAACAAACAAACAAAATACATGGTCAAAATAAATTAGTCAGAGTTAACTCCTGTATTTTAGTACAAACGGTGGCCAAAAAAAGATTTGGCTTATAGTTATAGCTTTTTTTTACCATGAACAGCTTATAAATCACACCGAACAGGCACATACACATCCCTACAGGTAACCATACCATTCTTTGATAGCATCACAAGAACAATTCGTATGTTTCCTAATCGTAAGAAAAAATCATCAAGCATCATTATGTTAATCACTAACGTTTTCTATCTCCGTCCTAGAACAAATCAATTCTTAGAATCACATAGAGTTAAACTATCCAAAGTTTGACCAACATAAAAAAAGAGTAATATCATCTAACACACAAAATAACTACATTTATGAAAATACATTTCATCATCTATCTAATGATACTAATTTGATGTTTTTGTAACTCATTTCTATAAATGTAGTTAGATTTAACATAGTTTGACTTAGAACAACTCTAAATATTGATTTATTTTGTGTCAAGAGTATTCATAGAATTAGTACTCCCTGCAGCTCTTCAAGTACAGCCTCCATATTTCAAATTAACAAAAACTGGTAATGCATAGAAGAAACCATCGGGAAGGGGAAAACGAAACATTAATTGGGAAAGCCAATAGAGAATCCTTCAGCATGAGAGTTGCTCCAGTAAAAATCTAGCTTCCGCCGCAAAATCCAAGGAAAAATATGGCTCATTATGTTGAGAAATGCATGGATTGACCACATTTAGGCCAATCTCAGCAGGGATTTAATAACACAATTACTAAGACTGGCATATCAGTTTTTATGTTGGTAACTTTGTGCTGACGTATTTCATCCTAATGAAATTCTCTATATCTCTCTCTTCGTAATTAACCTGCTAAGTCATCAAATTTGCTGACATGTCATAATATTAAACTCGGATGAAACTCCCACTGAGACTGAACTTATACAACAAGTTCATAGTACCCTTAACTAGCTCACAACTAAGTAGTTGTCACACGCTGTTATTTGTTTTTGTCGTTGGATGATAATTAGTGTCAAATGCATTAGTCATAAAAAAATTTACATCAATTCAAGACAACGTTCCATGGTGCACTTAAAATTTTACAAAAGAGTAAACGTCACAAAACACAGGCATATGGAACCACAACATTGGTTTGCGATTTTGTAAAAGTACAGCTAGCTTGATCCCTTTTGCCTTTGGGATCTGCAACTTTCAAAAACCCGTGACACAAGGACATTTTGCTGCTGGCCATCCCATTCCAACCTGCCATGACACATCTAATCATATTTGTACACCACACAAATAATCTGATGCGGAAGCGTTGCGCTAGCCGAGATGGAGCATCCTATCATGTGTCCACGGCCATTAGGAACAGAGCAGCCTAGTGCAGTTACTGAACCACATGACAGCTAGAAGGCATATGGAGTTTTCATGGGCAAAAGGAGATGGAGACTAGGGTCGCGACAGACGATCGTACCAGACAGCCGTGGTGTTGCAATAGGATTCATTCTGTGTGTAGTCATGATTGTTGTGTAGTATGTTCCTTCTTTTTTTCTTTTTTCAATAACTCAATTGAACTTTTCTCGTAAAGTCTTATAAAAACTTACTCTTTTCATTGTTAATTATCGCCCTGTTCGCTTAAACTTATCAGCTCTGCTTATTAGCCATAGTACAGTGTTTTTCTCTCATAACAAAAACAGCATCGGTCGACTTATCAGCCACATGAACCATCAGCCGAACACCCCCTATAATTCATTGTAACTTTTCTATAGGTATATAGGTTTTATTATTTATATATCTAGCCATAATCTAGTCTAAGGTGCGTAGCAAAAAGTTAAAAGGCCAAAATAAATTTTAATTTAAAATAGGGGGAGTACCAATTATAAATATAAACCTTTATACATAATTTCTTGGTTTATTCGACGAATTGTTGCACGAGACCCGCAAAATCTAAAGGCATGTTTTCTAGCCTTTTCTCGCTTGTTTGGCTATCATACACGCCACGTCTGTAGTTACACACTCATTTAATATAAAAACCTTAAACGATTTGCAAAAAAAGAAATTTTAAATGTCAAATTTGTACTTTCTTCATCTCAAATTATAAGACATTTGACTTTTTTAACTCCAAGTTTGACCATTCGTCTTATTCAAAAAAATTGTGCAAATATAATCAAATTTAAGTCATTCTTAAAGAACTTTTATTAATAAAGCAGACCACGACATAAAAGAAGTGATATTTTGCATAAATTTTTAAATAAGACGAGTGGTCTAAGTCGTTTGACTTTTTTCACTCTAAGTTAGACCACTCGTCTTATTCAAAAATTTGTGTGAAATATCTCTTTTTTATCGTGGCCTGTATTATTAATGAAAGGCCTTTAAGAATGATTTAAATTTAACTATGTTTGTTTTTTATTTTTTTTGAACAAGAGGAGTGGTCGGTAACTTGGGACGGAGGAAGTACCTTGTTTTGCACAAACTGGCGCGTAGAAAACAAGGCAGGCGTCCGGAAAAACCGCTTTTTGGAAAGGGGAAAAGGAAAGCACAGGGTGAAGGATCGGATAGGGTGGGGAGGCGGAAAAAAAGGGAATTCCGCTACGCGTCCCCTGGGCGGGCAGCAGTCGCCGAGAGCAACCAACCAAAGCAGCAGCAGCCGAGAGAGAGAGAGAGAGACGAGAGAGCGAGAGTCGGAGGCCCCAAATCCAAGTTCCAAACAACGCACGCACACATTTCACGCTCGCTCGCAATCCAGCAAGCAATTCCATTGGCTTCGTTCCTTCCTCGGCATTTGCTTTCGTTTTCCTCTTCAATCTTCGTCGTCGTCGTCTTGGGAGCCAAAAGATCAGTCACTCACTCCAGGACTCATCATCGATTGATTGATCCTTTGTTCCTTCCCTCGCATCTCGTGGTTGGGACTTGGGAGGGAAGCCACCTTCATTCCTCTCGTCAATCATCCTCCAATTTTCGATTCCCTCCCCTTCCCCTCCCTCGCAGTTCTAGACGGGGATTCCATTCGATTCGATTTGGTGGAGTAAGAGGATCGGGGGCCGTCGCAGGCGCCGGAGGAGACCCCCGCGCCCGCCGCCCGCACTGTTTGGAGTAAGCAAACCGCCCATCCTCCACACCAACTCATCACCACTCTTTACTACGTACAATCGTGCTCCCTTTTTTTTTTGTAATTCATTTTTTTTGTGAGAGCGTGCGTGCGCTGTGTGACCCCTGTTTTTAGCGGCGGCTTTTTTCGGCCCCCCTCCCAATTTCGCTGCCGCGTTTCGCTGTCCGCTTTCCACCGGATTCTTCCATCATTTTCTTTCTTCTGTCTCTTCTGTTATTATTATTACCGATAAAAAAAATTACTCATACGAGTACCCCTAATTTTTTCAGCTCTTAGATTAGATTAGATTAGATTGCATCCTATACTACTGTAAAAATCCTAATCCTAATCCTCTCTAGGGATTTCCTCCGTCCGTTTGTCGCCCTCCCTGCCTCCTCAATTTCTTTTTGTCCCCTTCCGCTTCGATTCCGTAACCGCTTCCGGCGATCGCGATGATGAATCGCTGAGGTTCCCCTTTTAGCTCTTCCTCACAAAATTTTTCCGCCGTTTTTCTTTTCCCTTTTTCGTCCTGTAGGGTGGGGTGGGGTGGGATGTGGGGGCGTTTCAGATTATATCCGCAATCTCCGTGATACGCCGCCCTCACACTGCCCCTACAATCTGTGTACCTTCTTCACTTTTATAGGATAGGATTGCCTGCTTTATTTCCTGCTTATTAGTACTACTGAGGACCTAAGCTCGGTTCAGGAGCGGACAGATGCATCCACAGGTGTCCTGTCCTGTCCTGTCTAGTTTGATTTCACGTGGGGTGTTTTCAGATTACAAACTCTACTAGTAATAGTGTGGTGCTTCTTCAGGCCCCAGCTTATTGCTATACCACTTGCTTTGTTACACTATGTTTAAGTATGGGACTGGGCATTGCATGATGGACCTGTTTGCTTGCACTCACTTATGATGCTATCCTATGCTCTCATATAGCCTTATAGGAGCATGCCAATTTGTTCCCAGCTTTCCAGCACACATGATATGTTTGTTCCTGTATAAATGTGTATCATTATAACTATGATAATGGTTTTCTTCATGAGACGCCACCATCAAATTTGCCTCCTTCTACTTGATGGAAACTTTCAAATTGCAATAGAAACATCATGCTAAAGGCTACACCAACATACCAACGTCATGTTCTATTTTCATATAGCCTTATAGTTGCCAGCCTCATCCACCAACTAAATAACATACCCTATGGCCTCTCAAGTTTTTTGTGGAATTTTTTTAAGATAATGGATAAGGTTTTTGTGGAATGTATTTATTTCCTGATTACTGCTCTTTTGCTTATTATATTGATTTAAATTCATGGTGGGTCCACGTACTCAAGATATTGTACTTCCATATATAGATCTAATTGATCAGGACCTGGAGAAAATCTTTGTGATGACTCTGCTATGCTAGATCATCTCGGAATATAAGATAAGCGTATGGTATTAAATCCTCGTGTGATTACAGGCTCTCCAAGAAATGCCGTGCACACTTGAAGTAATTGACGCAAGATTACAGAGCACATCATATATTCAGTGCAGCAGATCGTAAGACCAAAATATTGGCAGACTGCTTTTCAAAGGTACGTATTATGCATTATATGAATATGAGTGAGCGTTCTCTTGTGCTTTCATGGCATTGATTCCCTGGCTTTGCCCGTACTCATTTGGCGTCCTATATTCTCATCAGGGCCATCTGATACAAAGACCTGTTGCTGTTTGTCCTGAGAACAGGTAATTGACTGTTGCCACTTACTTTCATTACCAACAATCACTGGTGGACTTTGTGTATCTGGTCTGCTGCTGATGTGTATAATATGTAACAAGAAATTGTAAACGAAGTGAACACCTTAATTGGATCATAAAAATGAAGAGACAAAGGGTTGGTCAACAGGAAAGATCTAGTCGATCTTACTGTTGCTGGCATATACAAAAAATGCTTAAGCTACCCATCCACACAATCAAACCTGCCTTGAAGTTTGCTGCCGTTGTTTGACAACTGTGGAGGTTAAATCTTGATTTGCTAACAAGTTTCTTGCACTTAGTTGCGCAACAGAAAGGGGTGGAATAACTAAAACACATTTGTACTGAATTTTTGTCACTAAAAAGTCCAATCTAACATCACCTAATCCTTTCTGTATCTCTTGTTTGTTGCCTTATTATACTTGTTGATTAGCCTACCACCATTTTCATTATGTAGCATTTTCACAGTACAATATCACCAGTCAGCATAGCCAGACACCTTGAATCTCATCTGTTCTTCCATTTTTTGGGAGAGCTACCTGTTTAATGTGTTTTTGTGTGGCAGTGACACCTCATCAACAATACTTCCGCTTGGGCACAATTCAGATTGGAAACAGGCACCATTTTTGTCTGACACTCAAGAGGTCAACAAGGTAATCTCGTTATCATCAGGAGCTCTTGGTACAGAGTGCCTTGAGCTATTATCTGCACAGCCAAGAATACTGGGTTGCTTAGGCCAGCCGTATGAAAGGAACATGCATGATCAGGTTGATTCTTCTAAACCAGTTTCCAATGGAAACACACATGGAGGAAGCACCTTAAGACAATCTCGGCAAAGGAAAAACGTTTGTAATTCATCGACGGCAGTCCCTCCCTGCCATGTAGTTGCAAAGTACTCCAGGCCTGTCGCTACTACTCTGAGTCTGAGATCTGATTCTGATACTCTGCACAATGATGACAAGCTTTCAAAAAGGAGTTCTAGAAAGAGAGGAAAACAGTGCAAGCGAACAATCCGCAAAAGACTGAATTTGGCATCAGAAACCACTTTTGAAGAGAGTACTTATGGTGCTTCTCCTGTGGAGGTAGTTCCAACCAATTTACTGGTTGATAAGTTGTCAGAGACCATACCCTCTGCTAGCTCGTTGGTTAAAAATGATGGTCAGTGCAACAAGGACTATGTGGAATGTGGTATTATGTTGAATTTAGCTACATTGGGAACTGATGAGATGGATGGTTCTGGATGTGCTGGTTTATCTTATAATGTCGCAGGAGGGAGATTAAGCTCCGGTTGTGCTCCTTACTTGAATGATGAATCAAATATGATTGATTCTTGAATTTGATGGATCCACTTTCACTGAACATGGCTTGGGAGAAGAAAGCAATATCTACCAGAAGTTAACATGTGCCTATGTTTATAACCCCAGTTATGCAACCACGGATTCCATCTTTAGTAGGTGGAACAACGACAACAGTGTGAACTACAGTGTCGATGTTGAGGCTACCATCAAAGATGAAAATGGACATGACCATTCAAAACCAGGGGCCTCCCCAGGGCTGAGCAATATGAGGACGGAATGCCAGTTGATAGGGTCACATCTTAGTGCTAGTCATGCTGAAGATACAAATGATCCTCTAGGAATCAGATCATACTCTAAGGATGTTACTGATAGTTGTAGCCATACTGAAAGGGTTCAGTGCAGCAGTCAGGCATGCAGCAGCAAGGCCTCTCTTCAATTTAGTTCAGGGAGGAGGAACATAAAATCAAGTAAAACACCAAGCTACATTGATTTGACTGCGTCTAACAGAGTGAGAGGTTCTAATAGGCACAAGAACAATGGAAAAGATAGTTCAGCAGTGTGGCAGAAGGTAGAAAGAAATGACAAGATGATATCTAAAGCAGGACATTTGAGCAATTCACCTATTCATGATAAGGGTGCACATGAATATGGTAAGAAGGGTGCACAGGAAGATCCAACAAGAATTCGGGCAAAACACAATCAGAATAGGAAAGTGTGCAAACAGGAGTCCTCAAATGGGACAGTTGAACTGGAGCCTACCAAAGAAGAAGATGCATTGAACTCATGCCATACATTTTCTGGACCTTTCTACAAGAAGCAAGCACCCTTTCTACGCCAGCAAAGAAGCTCTTCTTCGAAACAAGGTTCTCAGTCATTGAAAAACTACTATGCTCCTAGGCATGGCATCCCCAAGGCTCCAAAGGATTACTTGCAGCAAGAAGAATTGCCTATGTTGATGCTAGTTCATGCCAAGAACACCAGTGATAGATCAACGTCATATTCAAGTTCAGCTGATAAAGTTTGTCTAACTGGAGTTGGCAGCAACTATCCAACTGAGGGAAATGAGGTTCACAACCTGGTATTGAGACAGCAGCATCAGTATCTTGCAACTTGGTTCCAGATTTGGCCCCACAAGCTGCCTCTGATGATTCCCACATACCAGATACTCACTCTTTATGTCCTGAAAACAGGGTGTATCCACCAGTTGGAGCTCCAAGAACTTGTGCACAGATCCTTGTGCTGCAGAAACAAAGGAAGCTCGATGTGTGAAGCTACTAACAGAGAATAATTCTCAAGAATGCTGTAAGTGGTATTCTGCTGCTGGACACTTGTCACAGAAGTGGATTCCTGTTGGGAAGAAGGAAACTTGCAATGGGATCTATTTGGATGTCTCAGGTAATGGTGAGGACAGCAACTTACGTAGTGAAAGGACTTATAAACTGAACTCATCTGAACATGTTGATTTGAAATTCCAAGCAGATAATGCAACTGAGACCGATTACAGCAAGATGAAAGATGCCATCAGTTATGTTTATGCAGCACAGCAGCGAGTGGAAGACATCCAACTTCGCATTGGTAGGCCTATTGCTGATTTTGAACAATTTGTTTACTCTGCTTCTCCAGTTGTGCACTGCAGCCCTTGCCCTGCTGGCTGTAAATCTTACCTGCAAGAATGTGTGAAGGATGGCTTATGTCTGCATCAGACTCCAGATATCACTCTAAGAACTGTCTGGCAGTGGTACGAAGAGCCTAGCTGCTATGGTTTGGATGTAAAGGCACAAGATCTCCGGAGGTCAAAAGGCTTGTGGAATAGTCATTGTCAGTTTACAACATATTTTGTACCATATCTATCTTCTGTTCAACTCTTCAGTCAATCTAAAAGAACCAGTGGTGGAAGCATTGATAAAGAATCAATCCATAGGGATGTGACTTGTGAAACATCTCCAGACCTGAACCTGCCCCCGATATTTGCAAAGCTTTTTCCAAAACAATATAATCCAGTAAACAAATCATCTACTTTGCGTACTGAAGATGATCAGCAGTCAGCAGATGGGGAGCTGATATTTGAATTTTTTGAATCTGAACAACCATACTCGCGGCAACAGTTATTTGACAAGTGAGTCTAATTACATAACAGGGTGCCTGTGTGCTTATGCTTAGTCTTTTACATGTGATGATGGTCGTAGTCTTGTTTTGTAAACATGGTGACTCATACACAAGGCCATTTTCACTTTGCCCCCATGTTTTTGGATTTAGACATTCCTTGTAGTGGTTTCTGATTTTGAAGCTGTGGTTCATTCTTGTACATTGAGAAAAACAGGTACTTGTTCTTTGAAATGTTCTTATAGAATACTCGTTGCACTCGTACTAGGGTAAATGAGCTGATTGCTGGTGTGAAACCGTCGAAATGCCAAATATCTGGAGACCCAAAGAATTTGGAGGTCAGCCTGCATGATCTCCATCCAGCCTCTTGGTCTGTTCTATGCTCTCCTCTTTTATTGGTGACATTATCATTTAACATGTACTTGTATCTGGATCTGTAAAGCCTTGTTGGGTGACGTGTTGAAAACATCTCTCTTGAATTTCAGGTATTGTGTTGCATGGTATCCCATATTCCGGATACCTGATGGAAAATTTCAGGCTGCGTTCTTGACATATCATTCTCTTGGGCACTGGATTCATCAGAGCAGCTCAGCCGATGGGGCTGCTGTTTTGCCAGTCATAGGCCTGCAGTCTTACAATGCCAAGGTAAAGGACTGACACACCACATGATACATAGATGCTAACTGAAAATGGCTGGTGCAAATTGGTGGTACAACTTGAGGCCTGAAACAAAATTTTGTTCTTACATGATTTGAGGTTCGAAACAATGTTTCTGTTTCCTGAGATGAATACGGTTTGATTTGTGTTTTGGAGGTTTTGAAAAACTAAATCGTACCTACTTGGCCATCTTTGTCAGCAGGCCAAATCATATGTTTTGCCAGAAAGTCAGCTGAACATCTTGAACCTTTACAAAGGCTATTTTGCCTGCCTAATTAGTGTTCCTAAAGGAACCAAGAAAATCAAAAGGTGTCTGGGGTTGGTGAAAGCTGCAGGTCTTTTGGCACCAGGTCAAATTTTGGACTGTTGTTCTGGGTCTTCTGCCCATGCACCCTATTGGAAATTGCTGGGATCTTTTTCTTTAAAAGGTGTGGGATGTTGCATGGTGAAAAGTAGTCCTGGCCGGTGGGTGTGCTTTTTGGGGCCCAGGTCAATGTTAGCAGTAGTCCTGCCATTTCCATATTTATTCTGCAAAGTAGCAGTAGGCTGTTTCCATATTTATTCTGCACTGTTGGTTGGTTCTCCAGATCATTTTTTTTAACGTAATGGTTCTCCAGATCATTGCGTTTTGGAAACTCTTGTATTTAACTCTCCTCTGGTAATGCAGGCAGAGTGGTGGTTTGAGATGAGCAAATCCGATTCTGACGGCCCCCAGTCAGCAGAGTCGCAGTCCAGTGAAGCATCCCAGATTCTGAAGGAGAGATTGCGCACGCTGAATGAGTCTGCAGCGGTGATGTCCAGGACCAGCGTGCTGAAGAATGGGCAGATGAGTAGAAACATGCACCCAGACTTCGAGTTCTTCCTCTCCCGGAGCTGAATGGATGCTGGAGGTTGATATCATATCATGGTGTCCGAGGCTCCTGGCTCCTGACAGTAGCAACCACTAGAACTGATGTGAACGTTGTTTAGCTTTGGGAAGCGCTTTTGGAAGTGCTGGTCTTCCATGTGTAACCTGCCTGCTTACCTTGTGTATTGCGGTGTATTCTATTATTATATCAACTATCCGTGGAAATGCATGCTGGAGCGATAGCAGCAGATTTAGGTGCAGTGTATGTATATATGTGTGACCGTGTGTAAGGTAACAAGGAGGGAAGGGATCCCTAGTGTTTGACACTGCTGGCTACCTTAGCATTTCACCGAAACACTGATGGAGTTTGGAGAACCATGAAATGGGGGAAAGAAAAAAGGGAAGCTGTTTGCTTAATCAATAGCTGGAACACCCATGCATATACTATAATTGAAGTGACAGTATTGGATTCTTGGACTGATTATGTTATTACAAAGAGCACGCATAACATGGAGAACTGGAGAAGCTGCTCTCCAGATGACTGGCATGCATGGTGCCTGCCTGCTGACGGCCTAGGGGCACTTGAGCTTGCCGGTGTGTGGATTGACAATGGTGTCGTAGCAGGGGCAGAGGTAGCGGGTGTCCTGGCCGGTCCCCGGCGGCACGCAGCTGCACTTGTTGCAGCAGGCGTTGCACATCTTGTTGCACATCTCGTTCTTCCAGTTGTTGCCGCAGCGAACGGAGCAGCTGGACGGGCAGTCTGCGTGCAATGCAATGCAAGACAGAAACAGAAACAGGCATGAATGAGACTGCTGCAGCCCGTCTGTGTAGCTATCCATGATGCTGCATGTACGAGGAGCCTCGCTTGCTTGTTATGTGCAGTACAGTACCTGGTTTTGGCGGCTGAAGCAGGGATCTGGCCATGCTGCTCATCCTCATCTGTGGTTGCTGCTGCTGTTGCTGCACCTGCATGGACACACGGACCATGTTCATGTGCTCATTATTCAGAAATCAGATGACCTGATGATGATGCTTCTTCAATCTTCATGAGAGAAAGGAGGGCTGGAGCTGATTCAGTGATGATGAAGAAGAGAAAGGAGTAGGCATACCTGCTGTGGATCGGCAGCAACAGCGGCTGCTGCGACAGCGACAAGAAACATGAGAGAAAGGAGGAGGCTGCTGATGCTGATGCTGCTTCATCATCTCAAGGAACGGAAGGAGTGGCAAGGGAGGAGGGGCTGGGTGGGTGTGGGTTCTTGAGTGAAGTGGAGATCTCCTTTCCTTCCTTCCTGAAGCAGGCAGTGATGCAAATATACAAGGAGTGGGCAAAGCAGCAGCAGCAGTAAATAATAACTGGGGCGGTGCAGCTGGTGCCCGTGCCGTCCCACCCAATGACAGCAAAGCAAAGCTTTGGAGAGCTTTTCATTTGCATTTTCTACACTACTGTAATTTTTGCCCCCAAACAAAATTGCTTGATAGCCATGGCAATGGCGCACGGGAGTAGAACATAATAAGGAGCAGGGATGAAGAAGAAGAAAAAAAGAGTAGCCAAGCCAACAAGTTAAGATGCAGCACAGCAGCACAACCAGCTTCAGAATATGAATTACTGTGTTTAAGTATGTATTTATTATTATCATGTTACATGCATGTATGTTTATAGCATGCCAAGTTGTACTATGGTCCTATTTGGATCCATGAAGCTAATAGTTAGCTGCTGATTATTAGCTCATTTGGATTCAAACGGATCGTCTTACTGGTTGGACTAAACCAGCTAATAGTTAGTTATTAGCAGCTAATAGATCCAATCAAAACCTACGCTATGCTGTAGAAAATTCAGTTGCTGAGTGGTGGAGTCAGTCAAGCCAGCCAGTCCAGCAGTCCGTGATAAACTTACTGATATCATATAGCAGTAGACGACGGACGGATGGGAATCGGATGCCTTCACGCACTTGTATATACAATCTTGCAGATCAGAGGAACAAAACAAACAAGCTGGTTTAATTTTTTTTACAATGTTTATTATAAAAAAAATACAGTAGGCTAACCTGTTATTGGACTGAGAATCTGAATTTCTTTCTACCGAGTGTTCCTTAAAAGTCTCTCTCATCTTGGGGTTGTTTAGTTGGGTAAAGCATAGTAAAGTAAAGATTCTTTACTGTAGCATTTCGTTTGTATTTGTGAATTATTGTTCAAACATTGACTAATTAGACTCAAAAGATTCGTCTCGCAAAGTTAAAGCAAACTGTGCAATTAGTTTTTTATTTTGTCTACGTTTAGTACTCCATACATGTACCGTAAATTTAATGTGACGGGGAATCTTCTTTTTGCATAGTGCACTTTTCAGGAGTTTGGAGGAACTAAGGGCCTGTTTAGTTCCCAAAAATTTTTGCACAGTACTCATCACATCGAATCTTACGGCACATGCATGGAGTACTAAACGTAGACGAAAAAAAATTAATTGCACAGTTGGGTGAGAAATTACGAGACGAAACTTTCGAACCTAATTAGTCCATAATTAGACGCTAATTACCGAATACAAACGAAAGTGCTACGATACCCAAAAATTTTTGGATCTAAACGCGCCATAAACAAAGGCTTGCTGCTTGTGTGTTCCGGAAAAAAAGTCTCTTCACCTTGCTCAGCTGTCAGCACCAAATTCCCACTGGTAACGGTAAAAGCCAGTGACTGATCGAGTGAAGGAACCTGAACCGAGCCCAGAGAGCAGAGCAGAGTTGCTGCACGCCTGCGCTGTACATGCACATGCATTCATCTTTCTTTGCTTTTGCTCGTGGGGACCGGGGACTGATGGCTGGTGCTGTCTGCGTGCTTTCTTTTCTCACTGTGCCTGCGCCATGCCAGCCCAGTCCCATGGTGCCTCCCACTCCCACATCACATGCTCTGCCTCCCTCGTCATGGTTTCTGGCTGCCTGCCACTTCCCCCGTTCCAATCTGCTAGTGCTACCTCATCCTGCAACTGCAACAACTCCATCAGTTATCTATTCCCACTCCCAGTTGTGTTAATCAGCAGCTCCAATTTACTACTGCTCCTGCATCCAAGACGCAGCAGCAGCGCCTGGAAAACATTAAAAAAAAAGAACTAGCAATCACATGTACACATACAAGAGCAGAGCCATGTAGCAAGTGCCGAATCAATCTGACAAATTCCATTAGAGAAAAAAATAAATAAACCCCAACACTGGGCATCAACGACAACTCACTCACTGACCACGAGCTTAAGAGTACTACGGACAGACACACACTACATCATCAAGTTCTAATTAATTAAGCAAAACGAGAGAAACATCTCATCTCGTCCAGATCGCATCATCTCAAAGTCTTATGTAAACAAACTCTGCCGCTGCCGCCGAACGGTTGGTCCCAGCTTAGGCCTCGTCTGCGTAGGCCGGCTCCAGGATGGCTGCCTCCGCCTCCTGCACCTCCTTCTCCGTCTTGCGCCCCTTCTTCGACTTGTAGTACACGCTCATGAACGTGCCCACAGCCCCGTACCTGCGCCGGCAGTGCTCGTAGTGGGAGGCGTCGAACATGCGCCAGAAGTCCTTCTCGTTCAGCTCCGACACAGCGTACTGTGGCTGGTAGCTGTGGTTCTCGATCAGCCACTGCTCCAGCCTGTGCACCGCCTCCGTACCATTGAACTCCTCTCCCCTTAGGACCGCGGCAGGGGCGTAGTACACACCCACGTCCGTGAACATCTGCGCGTAGCTCGTGTCGCCCTGCCTGTGCTGGTGCTCGAACCCAGGCTCAGGGTACACCATCGTCTTCACAGGCAGCTTGTACAGGCGGTGAGGGCACAGCCACAGAGGATACACCTAGCAACAATCAATTCCGAGAAATGCTTAGCTTATTATTATTCAGTGGACTACTCATAAACAACAGCAGGTGTGCAAGCAACAATAACAGTCAATAAAGATATATGACACAGTACTAACAAGAAACACACCTCCATCTCGCGGTGCACGAACTCGAGAGCATCTCCAACCTTGTACAGTGGCACCAGCATGTCCTGGATCACATGGTTGTCATGGTAGTAGTTCCTGATAGCCTCACCTTGAGTCGCCTTCAGCAGAGACACCTTTGGTGGCATGAGCCAACCCAGCAGGAACCTGAACCAGAACTGGTCACCGAATGGCAGGATCAGCTTTCCCTCCCAGTACAGGCACCGGGTGTGGCGGTGGTAGTACTCTCTTGTTGGGATGTACTCCACAAACTCGCCCCTCTTGAGCGCCGTCTGAGCATGCTGGTAGAACCAGGGCTTAAACCACCACCCCACGCAGTTGATCTTGTTGCCCTTCTTCTTGGCCTCTTCTTTCGAAGCATACACACCAGTCATCATGACACCCTCGCTTTCTGTGTACACCATTCCTTCAACAAAGTCAGGGACCTTTGCTGGGTCACCATCTCTTGGAGCGAAAGAATCAGCATAGGCCTGCGCGATTTCTTTCAGACTCCCTTTCACTGGAGTGTAGGTGAGCTTCATGTACTCCTTGATGGGAATCAGCTTGATCTCAGCAGAGACAAGGAACCCAAGTGTTCCCTGGGACCAGGGAATGCCATAGAAAAGGTCAGAGTACTCATTATCCTTGGTGGCCCTAACAACCCGGCCATCTGCAAGAACAACTTCCATTGCAACAACCGTGTCAGAGAAAAGGCCATAGAGGTGAGAGCTCCCCTCAATTCCATAACCATTGATCAGCCCACCAACAGTGAGGTCGTCAAGCTCAGCGACGACTGCAAGGGCAAGGTTCATTGGGCAGGTTGCTCGGGATATCTGACCCATGTTTACAAGGGGCTCAACCTTAGCAACCATCCTCTCTTTGTCAATCTCAAGGATGTTCCTGAAGGAAGAAAGGTCAACCTCAAAATGCCTCGCACGCTTGTAGTCGACATTGCGCATGCCAACAGCAATCCAGGGCTTCCTGGCTGTGCAAACAAGACCATCCTTCTTTGGGTTCCTCTGCTTGAGCCGCTTCACAACCTTCTGCACATTCTCATCATGTTGCTTCTGGCGCTTCTTCTCTGACTTCATGGCCGACCACATGTCGCCCAGAAAGATATTGAAGTAGATCAGAGATGAAATAGGAAGGACCACGAAGATCACAAGGATCCATCGGAACCGCACCAAGTAGTCCACCAAAACCTTCTTCCTCTTGCGGCGCACCAAAGGTTCATGCACATCCGCCATGGGTGGAGGATGCTTGCTTCTGAAAAGAACACAATTGAAAGAGCACACCACAACAGAGTTAGTTAAACAGTGAAGTTAACCAAAAAAAAACAGCAAACCGCATATATCATATCGTGGAAGAGCTTCTACACTAGATGGAAGAAACAACTGAAGCAAGCACATTGTTATCTGAACTGTGAGGAGATATCTCACCAACAGCTAGCTGTAATGATAAAGCTACATCATCACAGTGCCATTCAACCATCTAATAATGTTTCAAGAAACATGTAGAGACAGTGCAGCAACACTGAATAAATGAATGATTTAACCATATAAGGTCCAGATCAAAAACCTATCAGGTCAGGGGCGGCAGGACATTCACATGCAATGGTCAAAATTTGCAGCACCAATACTTGTATGTCAAGTAAGCATCTCGTATAGCTAGAAGCAAATTCCTAAGACCCCAGCCTTGCATTATCATTAAAACAGAGACGATGCACGCCCAACAAAGTTTATCTAGTAATTCCTAGAATTAAAAGAAGGCAGTACATAGTATGTGGGATAGCTTAAGATTGTGCAGACAGCAACCAGTAGTCGAAAAGAAGCTTCATAAAACTTTGCTGAGAATGGAGGAACCTCAACCTCGACAGCATACAAATTCGGACAAAAAAAAATCCAGATCCCAGAAGATAGTCAACGTGGTTTGCTATTTTTAATAACCCTAAAACAGTAGAACCCCACAAGGACCACTGCACCAACCTCCTACAGTTTGTTTCTGAAGCCGTGACATGCAATGCAATCATTGCCAGCTTAACCAAATCTGAAAAGAGCATACATCTACGGGCAAAAGATAGAAACCGGACCCTTTTGGTTTGGGCATAGGAGCCATGCATGCAGGCACCAATTCTGACCTCCCTTAGAATGCTGAAGCATGTTTTGAACCTTACACATATACTACTACAGATCTGTGGCATGCAGGCATGCATTCGATGGGGTTGACATGCCTGCCAGTCAGATCCAGCAATCGTTGACGGCCCCAAGTAAATTCAAAATTCATACGAAACTGAGAGAGGAAAGGGTGGGTGTAACATGCCACGGCCTTTGTGACTCTCTCTTAAATATGAAGATTAAACAAAGTGAAAAAGGATCTCCTTTTATGTTGTTGTTTTTCTTTTGTGGGGTGTGTGCGAGGATTACACTTGCGCCAAGATTTCAGTAAAGCTGGGCCTTGCGCACACAAGTTGATGATGCAGTACTATGAATTCCCCTTTCTAATTCTTCTCGCAGCAAATTGCTCCTCTTTTTGCGCCACCCACCCAAGGAAAATAAGGTGAAATGTTGTCGGTCAGTCGGTCACTAGTAACAGCAGAGGCACGGCCATGTGGTAACTGTAAAAGAAAAAAAGAAAAGGGAAAAGAATGCAATACCAAAAATGACTAGCCCTTTTTGTAACAAGAAGGATGGGATGGGAAGGGAGCTTCAGCCGCCCGTGCACCTGGGGTACGGTACGGTAACTCTAGACTGGGACTGGCGCAATCGAATCCATCCATGGAGAAAAGAAACTACTCCTACTCCTAGTATACACGGGGAACGGGGGATTTGGTTCCTGACGGCATGCACGCAAGAACCTAGCAGCAGATCTAGGCAGCGACGGGGGCAGACAGTTCCGGACGGAAGCACACGGACGGGGGTAGGACACCGGTGGTGGATTGGGAAGCAACCAGCGAGGAGGAGATGAGAGTGCAGGCGGTCGTCTTACTCTTACCGGCTGTGGATCCGGCCGGTGGGCGGTCCTCCTCCTCCTCAGCAGGCGGAGGTGGGCGAGCGATGGAGATGCTGCTGCAACTTGTTGCCCCCAAATCTCAATCTCCGCAGGGACACAGCGGTGGGGGGTTTTAAAGCGGCGGGGCGACACTCCACGCAAGCGGTGGAGGGTTTTGCCACTTTTCGTTTTAGTCCTTGTCATCATCCATATTTTCTATCCCCCTTCTCTCTCGACGGGTGGTGACGGTGACAGTTCTCTCTTTTTTTTCTTTTTCTTTTTTTTTCTTGATTTGCCTTTTCTTTTTATCCAGTGCCATCTTGCTCTCTCTCTCGATATTTCTTGGCACGGCAGGTTTTCGAAATTGTCACGCATAATGAATGAGAGCTATTTTGCTTGAAAGATTGAAAAGTTGCCTGATCCACACAAGGAGCCTGTCCGCTGGTCGGTTTCTAGACTGATAAGTCCGACTGGTACTGATTTATTGTGAGAGAAAAATACTGTTGACCGACTGATAAATTCTAGCTGAAACCAACAAACGAACAATACGCGGTCTCTCTCTCCTCGGCTCTAGGTAGAAGCTCCTAAGACCTGATATAAAATCCGAAAGCTAGCGGTTGATTTTGGGATCTGGCTTTTGGTACAGTGCCGTTTCTGGAGAAGCTAGAGTCGAAGCAACCCAAGTAAAAATAGTAGATAATTTGGAACAACAGTAAAAAGGCTAGAATGGCACTCTTGTTATAGGACCGAAGGGGTAGAAGTAAACTCTTTTTTTTTTTTTTGAGACGAGTACAAGTAAACCTGGTCTGCTGCAAGTGTGTTGGTGTGTGTGAGAGAGATAGTATCGTGCAGTTGTGCCAGATGAGATGAGATGAGATCCGATCTGAGTGATGATGGATGCAGCATACTACTACTACTGTCTGTATGCACTGCTTAGCTTGATCCAGTGAGTGATCTGATCTGATCTGAATCTCATGCGGAGGAGGAGGCGCATGCAGTGACCCACACCGCGAGGCTATGATCTATACTGTGAAGGAATCGTGACATTATTATACTATTAGTATGTTATATGAATGAAAACACATGTACACTAGCATGCAGGCAGATGCAGCACATCCCTCCCGTCGTTTACCAGCGGTGTATATTTATTGGAAAGTGTCTTACCAGCACTCGAGCGATGTTTTACAACGGGAGTACTTGTTTTTTTTTCACCTTTCTTCTTCCACCTTGCCCATGTCGCCGCCGTCCCGCCGCGGCCGCAGCCGCGGAGTCCAGTGAAACCCTAGCGCGACTGTTGCGACCTCCTTCTCCCCCCCCCCTCCTCTTCCGAGGCAAGCTCCGGTCATGGGTGCCCCCCGTCCCGACCTAGTCCGGCCGCTTCCGCCGCCACTGGGACCCGAACGTCCCCATCCCTACTTAAAGCCCTAATTTGGTTTTGGATAATTGATGAAACCTAAGTGTACTAAACTTTGTCATAAGTGAAATACAAAGATAGGTTGGTACACACCAAGATGTGGAGCTAGATGGCAATGGTGATGCCCAAGTGATGATGGATCAAGAGCTTCAACTTGGAAAAAAAGAAAGAAAGAAAAATAAAAAACTAAGATGATCAAGACAAAGGTATCACTAGGGTTTTTGTTTCACCACTCAAGACACCATAGAGGGTGTGAGTGGGCCTAGGATAGACAGTCGTACTATGAAGAGGGGAAAATCATGGTAATTGTGGTTATCAAGTGCCACTAGGTAAAGTGGTTCATGCATATGCATTAGGACCTAGTGTGCTAACATAAAACCCTTGAAAATGCTAACACACGTACACAAGTGGTGGAACACTTTGGTGTTGGCACATGGAAGCAAGGGTGAAAGATAGAAGTTGAAATGGAGAAGAAAAAGGATCCGGGCCCTAGGGTATAGGGTGGTCCAGACCATCGGCGATGGGTCCGGAACCAAAGCCTAGGGATACTCTGTGCCGTGGCACAGCTCCGGACTCTGGGCGCGGGGTGTTCGGACCATGGCTCCTTGGTCCGGATGGAGGCCCCCGGCCACGTGGCGAGAAGCGAAGAGGCGAGGCAGCTCCGGACGCTGAGTGATGGTTCGGACGGTGCAACCGGACTCGGTTCGGACGCATTTGAGCTCTCGTGAACCTTACTGGAGTCGTCCGGACTCTGCTCGTCGTTGGTCCGGATGATCGCTGTTCATCGGTCCGAAGTTGGAGTCCGGACGCGCGGGAGAATGCCTACGCGTGGGCCAACGGCTAGTTTCAAACTCTGGGACACGTGGCGATGTGAGAAATGTTGAAGGGAATCGGACCTTGGGTCCTTGGTCCGGATAGCACTGTTGCTGAGTCCTGAGCCTCCGTTCGGTTGCTGTAACGGTCTGTTTTACACGTGGCACTCGAAGATTCAAAGCTGCGAGGGTCCGGACCCGGAGTGAATGGTCTGGACGCCCCGTGGACTGTAACGGTTAGTTACCTCTTGGGGCTCTATAAATAGAGCTTGGCCGGATTTGGCTCACTCTCTTGGTCATTCTTACATGTGATAGCATCCTTTTAGTTGAGCAAACCCTCTCCCACTCAATCTCTTGCTTGATTGTGCATCCAAGTGAGTTGGGAGTGATTCCAAGTGTATTTGCATGAGTAATAGCATCTAGTGGCACTTGTGAATCATTTTTGCTGTGGTCTTCTTGTTACTCTTGGTGGTTGCCGCCACCTAGACGGTTTGGAGCAGCGGAAGTGTGTTGGCAAGAGTGGTGATTGTCTTGGCCACACCCATCGGTGATTGTGAGGGGTTCTTGAGCCTTCCCCGTGGGAGATCACGAAAGGCATCTCTAGTGGATTGCTCGTAGCTTGTGGATCCCCATCTTGTGTTGGTTGTGCGGCATCCGGTTGCGGGTTAGGCATGTGATGCCTATTAGCGCGTGAACCTCCAAGTGCGTGAATCGCTACAACGAGGACTAGCTTGCCGGCAAGCAAGTGAACCTCGATAAAAAATCTTGTGTCATCTTGTTCCGAGAATTTCATTGATATATTGATTGAACATCTCTCTTGCCACGGCGGTATATCTATCACCACCTCTTGTATTTACTTTGTAGTTGATATCTTTTGTAGTGGTAGCTTGGTTTCTTTGCTAGCTTGTTCACTAGGTGTAGAATAGTGACTTAGCCTCTTGTGTGTGCCATAGAGATTATAGCCTTACTAGAATTATGGTATGTAGCTTGCATCACAAGTAGAGCTAGAGCAAAATTATATTTCGCCTTTTATTTATCTAATCCATTGCTCTAGTGTTTTTTAAGAAATTTTTATAGGGTATTCACCCCCCTCTAGCCATTTATGACCTTTCACCCACCGCCTGGTCGGCCTGTCTCCCCCGATTTCCCCTTCTAAGGCCACCGGATTTGGAGAAGAAGAGAGAGAGAGAGGCCGGAGAGAGGGTGTGCCTGCGAGGAGAAATCGAGTGTCCAACACTCGGTTGTTAGATAGCATTTCTCTATTTATTTGTTTAAGGGGGGCGTTTGGTAGCGTTTTTCTTATCTTTATAGGAGTTTCTCGGTAAGAATTCATTTTTCCTCAGCTAAACGGTAAAATTTCTCCGCTTACAAGTGCTAAATGGTGAAAAGTAATTCTGATGAAAATTAAATTGCTCATTATTAATGATAATAATGAGCAATTTAATTTCCATCATAATTACTTTTCAGATGCTCACTATTTGGAAAGAGAGAAATATGAGACAATTCCAACAAAAAGCTCTCAACCCAAGTCAAGTGGCCGTGTTATGCAAAGATGAGATTATGCAATACAGTTTGGCCATGGCGCCAAGGACAGTCACAACTGAATCCTAAAGTCCTCGTAGTGGTCTTTCTCAGTCTTTTGTTATCGGTTTCATGTGTAGGTTTCAATAGTTTCAGGTGTTTTTTTTTCTCATCGTTTGCAGTTTTAGGTAGTCGATCTCCTAGTTGTGGTAGCTCCACGAGACTGTTGCCGGTCTGTAAATATTTGTAAGTCTCTTTTTTCTTTTCTATCATTTAATAAAATATACAATAAAGCTTTTGCCGTCCTTTTCTAAATAAACATGCTTCTCGTCCTGCTTCCCTACTAAATCACTCCGCTCTGCCAAATAGGTCCTATACATATAATCCTACGTAATCAAATGTATAGTTGACCGATCTCTATCTGTCGTATACATAAACGTACTGTCATTCGTGCATCTCGCCATCTGTCGTATGTGTAAACATATATGTACTGTCATCATCCATATGCATCTCAAACTGTTATTTTTCAACGATCGTTTCTCGTTTAATCAATTTATTAACGAGGACACGACGGTAGTGACACGAGGCATCACGTGCATAGCGCGCCATGTACGGCTCCAACCAACAAAACACATGCATCTTGCACACCCAGGCCATCGATCGGTATTATCGATACAGCCAATTAGCCAAACCAAAAAAAAAAAAAAACAAAGCTTGCCGGCTCTGCTGGCTTACATGCATTTTCGTTTCTTTTTGTTGGGCACGAGATATAGCCACAAGCTCCCCTTACACAGATTTGTTCACATTTTTCTTTTATTTATCACTGATTCAATACTGTTTGGGTTTTTTTTTACATAGAAATTCTCAAAAGAAAATAGCAATTTTGACACTCAAATTCGGCACTTGGGTTTGAATAGGCCCTCGTTTAGTTCCTCAAACTCCCAACTTTGGCACTATGCAAAAAGAAGATTCCCCGTCACATCAAACTTGCGGTACATGTATGGAGTACTAAATGTAGATGAAATCAAAAACTAATTGCACAGTTTGGTTAAACTTTGCGAGACGAATCTTTTGAGCCTAATTAGTCAATGTTTGGACAATAATTCACAAATACAAACGAATGTGCTACAGTATTTGCCGTCACATCAAACACTGTGCAAACGCCGATTCCGACCAAACTAAACAAGGCCTGGATATTGTTAGTTGCTCAGTTGGCAACATAGTTTGGTGACCGAGTAATATTCGAGTACTCGGTTTAATTTTAGTGAATCCACTGTTAGTGCTAGCTAGAGTAAGGAGTGATCAAGCAAGATCATGCAAATAATTGAAGGAGAAAGGGCAGACTAAAGAGCTGCGTGTAGTCATTACCTTGCTTTGTAGTTTGAACATGCACGTCAAGGTGATTGCACAGGTAAACACCTCGTAAGCCTAATCGATGATGGGCGATGGAACAAAGACCTAGTAAAGTCTTGTTCTGTCAGGTCGATGTATGTATCATCTATTGGGATGGGTTTGATAGTGTAACCGGGGAACGACTCCATGGCTAGGAGCAGCGGCGGATCCAGGAAATATTTCAGGGGTCTGAACAACACTGTTGCTCGATCTTAAGTCTCAACCCCCCGCTCTATAGAACTTTGCCTAAAAATTCATGGGGCTCCACAGAGGGTTCCACTGCACCACTTTGGGTAGGGGGGCCCGCCCCACCGCTGTGTTCGCCCATGGCTAGGAGATGGGGAAGTACTATTGATATGTAATCTCATCCCACCTCCTTTTTCTCTGATATCATAAACTTCAAGGGCTATGCCCTATCCACCCCCGGTTAACGGCATCAGTGGAATGAAACCAAGTGGGGATTGAGTTTGATCCCCCGCCCCACCCCGAAATTTGACCTCAAAAAAATAGTGTAACGGGGGGTGGGTGGGTGGAGAGGGGGGAAGGTTGCTTGTAAACGACGTAACTAGCTATTTTATCATATCAATAAACCTTGCCAAACAACATTTTTTTAAAAGTAACAGATCTCAATCCTTTCCCTTTCCTCCCCTATCGCATTGTTGATGCGCCCTAGGTATCGGCATGCTAGACAGACACTATGTTGTGCTAGTATTTTGATGAAATCAAGAGGGGCAAGCCCCTACTGGTTAAGATATATTAAAAACAGAATAAGTAATTTATAGAAAATATGACGTAGTGAACAGATTTAAGAAATAAAATTGGTTCATCAGTCTAGGTAAGTAGGCTAGATTCTCT